AAGTATTTTCGTCGAAAAACAAGCAAAGCGATCTTTCTAAATAAATACCAACAACGTTCAAAAAGTAAAAATACGAACATTTTTGTAAATGCATGCATCTTAATGCATGTATGCATTAGAAAATTTTGTAGGTTAGAAAATAATTTTTCTTTTCTTTATTTTTAATTTAATTAATATAATTTAATTGTCCTGTCAAAATATTACGTCAATAAATTTCAAAAATAGATTCGCAAATAAATATTAAGGAAAATATAAGAATCGGAGTAAAATAGATTTTTTATCATTATAACTGCGTATATATAACCTTTTTATTTCTTTCTATATACTTTTTGGTTCTCTGGTAATTTACTATACACAGCAAACTAAAAACAAATAAAGAGAAACTTATAAGAAGTTTTTTCTATTTTTCCTGTGAGAAGAGATAATGTTTGTTTAGCGAGACAGGTCGGAAAATAGAGTTCTGAATATTTCGCAATTCGATAATTCCCTTTTTCGTCGACGATTCTCCGCAGCATGTAACGTGGAAGAGATCAAAGGCGTCAGTAGCACCTGTCCTCTAAAACCCTGCCTTGTCATCCGACTGGATTGTACCACAAAGCCGGGGGCTGACTCTCCACTCGTTTCGCGGGAATGGCAATGCTTTACGTACTATTGCGTAGCTTGATCATTCTCATTCTAACGATATACATGGGGTGATTTGCAATTTGTACCGCGAATCAAAAAGAAAATATTTTCTTGTGTTCCTATCATTCTACAAAAAGAAAACGAAGCAAAATTATCGATTTTAATTTAGATATCTTTTTTTTTTGTCACAATCCGGTGAAATATTAATAAAAAGTCGGGAAAAATTTCACAATATTTTTACAAAGGGCGGGAAATATACGTAAAAAATTAATTATTTAAAAATGTTGCATAGAATTTAGATTAAATGAAGATATTTTGTGTTAAGTTATGACCCTTTATGTCTTTATGAGGGGAAACTCAATGAATAGGACACCCAGTATATTTATACTAAAGACAGAAAATGATTCGTTTCTCTTTATACCCTCAAAATAGTAATTATCTTTATTGCGAGCTCAGGTTCAACCAACCAAGTCAACCTGATATTTAGAGACTCAGAGAATTAAAGTATATATAACGAATCTAATACATTAGAAAAAATTAGAATCAAGAACCCCGAATTACGACTTAAAAAATTTCCGCCATATTGAATCCGACATTTTTAGTTTTGAAAATCTGATATATTTTTTTTACAATAAACTGCGTTGCAGAGATCGACATAAGTCATTTATAGTATATATGTATACGGGGCCCCAGGGTTTGTGCAGAGAACCCTAGAATTATCGTTAAATGTTATTGCCTAGACTCCATAGATCTTATAAGGTATATAAAATACTAGGTTACCACAGCATTCATATTAGACTTTAGAAGTGAGGGTGAACCGAAGAGAATTTCATATACTCGAAATTATATTAAAGACATTTAAGAACAAAAACCACTAATTTTATATATTGCAGTCACTTAATCAATTATAGGAATCTATTTTTTCTGTATACATTTTAGTTAACTTCGAACAATAATAAAGAAAATATATCTCGTTCACGAAATGTTAAAAATATAACTTAGGAGGGAGGGGATAAAGAAAATTAAAAATTATGACATAAAAATCTTGTAAAAAATACCTAACCGCTCCCCACCCTCTAAATGAATCAATAACAACGAATATAAAAGGATTTTAAGTTTTAATTATTCAGATCCATATAAAAGAAATTATTTGTCAATTAGTTGCGAAATTATTTCTTCAACATACGCATAGAGAAAAAGACAAGAATGTCCGGGAGTGTCAAGATTGCTGCAACCACAATCACTCAGAACGTCCTTTTCGCTTACATCCCTCATACGTCCCATGAGAAGACCCTTCTCTGTTTCTTTACAACCAACATACATATAGATATATATAGAATTCAGAGCAATCGACAAAATCAATTCCAAGTTCTTATATCAACTTCTTTTCTAATTTTAACCATTGTTTTTATTTATATCAAATTTTATTCACTCTTAATGAAAACGTTTTTTTTTTACTTTTTTTTAAACAGCTTTTCCAACTTTTCTTCCCCCGTCAACTATCGCACCCTGATCTAGTGAAAATGTAGTAACTTTATAGAGTAAATAAGTAACTTAAGTAACTTAACTTAACTTTAAGTAATTTTTACTTAAATTAAAAGTTACTATAAAGTCACTAAATTTTCACTAGAGCAGGATGCGGTAGTTGACGAGAATGACGACAAATAGCGAGTGGAGACAATGGAAACCAACCGATGCAAATTGTGTCCGTACCCTGACTTTAACTTCTGAATTTATTAATGCTACACAACCCTGAATTCCAACCTAACATGACTGTTGACAAGTTCAAGTTTGTTCTAGCCAGAGTAGTTATTCATTTGTATTCATTATTGAATGTTACAAATTAAGAATCGCTTGAATCTTTAGAGGTAAATTAAATTTAATTACATTTTTACCTGAAAAATACTTAATTACAAATTGTTAATTTGATAAACCTGTTAAATTTAGAATATTGTTGCTACTTATTTGTAGCCTGCAATTGTATCGTTTTATCCTAAATCAAAACGTTTGCAACATGAAATTGATATTTTTATTATAACTAATAAATTAATTTAATTTTAATTAAATTTATTGTAATTTTATTATAATGATTTTTATTGAAAAATCGTTTTGTTTAAACTCATTTTATTATAATTTTATCGTCTAAAATAAAATAAGTTTTCATGTTAATTGTACATTTTGCATTGAAAACTTAGATAACCTAAAAAATTTCCGTTTCAAAAAAATGATATTTTAAAGAGGAGGTGAACTAGAAAATGGTTATACAATAATAAAAATTAAATCTATTTTGATCAAAGATTCCGTACAATAAGTATCAAATGTGTACTCGCAAATAAAATTTTCTAAAAATTTTATCTCAAATGTTAAAGGTTCCTGAGATTTGCGTATATGCATCAGTAAAATGTACGTCAAAAGCTCGAGCTAAACTATAATGGAACTGATTCTCCCTTTTAACAGTAAATTGTTAAAGAAGCAGCACCACCCAAAAGAGAAAGACTTTAATTACTGAATACAGATTTACTTTCTACTTGTAAATGAGAAAAGACAAGAAAGAGGTTTCGTCGCTCTCTTATAGACTCACGGCCGCGCTTTTACCGTTGGACTAATGATTTGCAAACATCACCCCTCTGTTTCACTCATTAAGAACTTTTTGTTGGGCGTGTTGTACATGAACAAGACAGACATCTTCAAAATACTTCAGAGGGTTTTCTGTTATACAACTACTTTTAACATATATAAAAGAAAATTTATATTTAATTTTTTAATGGTTTTTTTTAATATTCATTGTTGTTTTGCAAATTTTTGGTTAGGAACCTATAATTTTGTACCTAATTTTAAATGTCATTCAAATCAATTGTTTTTAACTTAAAAATTTTATCATTTCTTATTGCAAACCTAAATATCTTCTATTATATTAAGTTAACAAATTTCCAATAGCAACACCGACCCCGTGACCTCGACACCGAGCTTGCAAAATTTATTTTTACTTATTTTCAAATAAATCAAAATCCTTTGTCATATGCTTTTAGAAGATCTTATTTATTTCACAGTTTAAAAATGTTTTTGCAATTTAAAACCTAAAAATAGGGTTATTTTGCATTTTTAAGCAATTTTTTTGAATTTTTGGATATATACCTATAAAATTACTCTTATTTTAAAAAGTTACTCAGAAAGATTTCTTTTTTTAATTTTTTAATGGTTTTTTAAAATAATTTATTGTTGTTTTGCAAATTTTTAGTTAGGAACCGATAATATTGTACCTAATTTTAATGTCATTCAAATCAATTGTTTTCAACTCAAAAATTTTATTATTGCTGATTTCAAACCTAAACATCTTCTATTATATTAAGTTAACAAAAGCCAGATTTTATACACGCTATACCATCTATACATCTAAACTAAGTACTTTAACTGGATTTTATCAAACTCTGATAAAAAGAAATGTTTTAGATACGTAATAAAACGTAATAGAAAATGAAAATTGCTTGTTGGTAATAGTAGTTTCAAGTAAACGGAGAGAGCACGAATTAATTTCATCGTTCTGCTCTGTCGACAATGTAGAAAAATAAGTCGTCTGCTAAGAAAACTGTCCGGAGCTGTCTAAATAATCCAATTATTTTAATAATTCATTGATGATTTGAAAGGTTAGTTTTCTATAGTTTTTGCAAATAATTATTTTTAAAAATGGACTTGGATACAGCGAGTGATAATACGTCTTTGGATGATAAAACAGAAGATTTTTGTGATAATCCTACTAGAGATGCTTTGACGGAAGGTCTAATGAGTCTTTTAAAACCAACTGTCGATCAACTTGATGAAAGGATTCGAGCAACAAGGTGACAATAAATAATATAGCAGTAATTAATTAAATAAAGTTTCACACTTTTTACACAAGCTATTTTTTTAGAATTATAGTTTTATTTTATTCTGCATTATTTAAACAATCGCTTTACTCCAAATCCATTTTTAAATACAATTAATTGAAAAAGCAATAAAAAATTATTTTATATTTTCGTAGTGTAACAACAAATTGTCCAGAATTTTAAAAACATCCAAAAAATAAAAATTAATAGAATTAGAAATTTTCAATAAACGTCCTTAAATTTTGTGATTTAGTAAAAATTTTGCTCAGAAAGTATTGTACACTTATTTTTTTTTAAATATATACATTTGAGGAAAACCAACAAAACTTAGATTCAATTATTCTTAGGAGTAATATTTTTTCAGAATAAGTCAAATTGAACTAAAGCAACAAATTGATTCATTGAACGAAGAATTATTAAAAATATCCGAGAGTCTCCAGCATCCATTGGAACTCGATTCATATGTTAAAAAACTTGTAAATGCCAAGCAGAAAGTTACAATAGTGAGCAACATTTTGCAAACGACTCAAGAGCGTTTAAATAAAATTCATCAAGCTATTGAAAAGGAATCAGCAAAAAAACGAGCTTTACTTGATCATAGTTCCTCTTATAAAGCTGATGCAGTTAAAAATTTGAACATTGTTCAACAATAAAATATAAAGGTTTGCTTTCAACTAATAAGAATTTAGTTCTTTACAATAAATAACAGCAACGGACATTTCAGAATATCCTATGGACGTCCTATCCGTATCTGGAAATTTAGCTTTCTCTAGGATGTCTTCAGGATATCTATGGATATTCCTGAGACATCCTATGGATGTCCTACTTTCCAGTTTTGTCCCTGGGACATCCGTAGAATATCTTGAATATCCGGATGCTGTTAGGGTAAATATTAACCAATCTTTAACTATTTTCCAAAAACAGGAATCGTTTAAAATGGAGACTCCTATTTTAAAATTATCTGAAGAGGATAAAGAAACAGTTTACGATCCTTCGGAAGACTCGTTTCTCCTTATAGATGCACTGGAGAGTGATTTGCAGTCTATAGAAGCAAAAATGCCTGGACTTTGTTTAGAAATTGGAAGCGGTTCTGGCGTAGTTATCACTGCACTGGCAATGGCTCTTGGTTCAAGATTTCCATCATATTTTTTAGCCACTGATATAAATCCTAACGCATGTAAAGTGACTAAAAGAACTAGTATCGCAAATTCTACAAAAGTGGAAGTAATCCAAATGGATTTAGCAACCAATTTCCTACCTGCGAAGTTTTTTGATTTAATAGTATTCAATCCACCGTATGTCGTTACAGAAGCTCTTGAGGTATTAGACGAAAGATTAATTTCTAAAACGTGGGCAGGCGGTCTCGAAGGTAGACAAGTAATGAAAAAAATATTCCCACACATTCCAAATTTATTGTCAAAAAATGGAATCTTCTATTTACTTGTAATTAAAGAAAATAATCCAGAATACATTATAAAATATTTTAAACAGTTCAATATGATTGGCTCAATTATAGCTGAAAGAAAAATAAGAGGCGAGCATTTATATGTATTAAAATTTATCAGGCATCATTGACCAATACTGCTGTGAATAATGTATTAAGAAATTAAAATATCCCATTATTTTATTGTTATAAAAATGTAAATACTTGTTTTTGTATATAAATATAAAATCAAAAAAAAAACTTTATCAGAATTAACAAAATTTAATGAAAATAAATTATAATAAAAAAAATGGTTGTAAATTGAAAATAAAAGCAAAACTACAAATTGTACAGAAATTTTATTCCTTTAAACATATTTTATTAAAAGTTGGGACTTGAATCTGTAACACAGATACTTACAGGCAAAAATACTGTTGTAAAAATTGTTAAAATACTAAGGGAAAAGCACTAAAATCTTTATAAATAAGTTTAATCGCTAAATTGAAATTGACATATTTTTTACAGCTTCTGCGAAGAAGTAATAATTATTCTAAACAAAAGAATTCAGTTTGTTATTTAAACTCATCGATTTATAAATTGATCGGCTCATATACAAAATTATGGCAGTGAGTCCTCTAATCAAGCATTTAGATCGTGTATACTTGCTCGCAAAGTCTTAATTGACTTTTTTTTTAATTGGGCAACAACACTTTATTGATGTTACACAAACAAAATGAAGCTATTTGCTAATTTAACTTCACTATTTAATTCCAGACAAACTTTTTCATTATAAATATGCTATATATATGTATATATAACAAACTACTTTTTTTATTCTCCTCAGAACACAGAATTGAAAAATATATTTCTTTGATAAATAAACGTCAGTTTATTAAAAGGAATTCGCTTTTAAAATCTTTTGCTCTCAGTTTGAAGTCTTAAGATCCCATTGAATATGCTTTTGTTTTGTAAACATTTTGTAACTTTGAGTACAAAATGACAGCACTTATTGTGCTGGAAACTACGGCGGTAAACATCATTGAAAATGCAACGTAAAATCCACTATTACTTAAACAAACATTATTAGACGAAGCAATTTCCTGCACTATTTCTTCATCGACATTCTCTAATGCTTGATTTGCCATTGGACTTAAATCTTCTGGCATGACAACTCTGAATCCACGACCGACTCTCACGCCACTTGGTGCCAGACTTATTGTTGAGTTTAGTGGAGAAGTAATGGAACGACGACGTCTTCCGGGATCAATTTGCTGAAAAAGGTAAAATTTAAAAATGAGTAGTTCGTCTTTACTTTTTCTTACTGTTCAGTTTATGACTAAAGTCATCCTAAAGACATCTTAGTGTTCACTGAGCCACCAATTATTTGGATAAAATTCACAGAAATTATGTACCTGATTTGGTTCCGGACATGCGTCACAGTTAGTTTTACAAAGTTCAACGTTACATTCGATGAATAGATCCATTACATCTGGAAATTTGAAAGCTTGGAAAAATGCATAGGCAATTATAGATGCTCCCGTATTTCCTGTATCTTTTGTCTTTTGAAAAGCTCCAAAGATTTTCGGTTTCAAAATACAACCCCTTTCATCCGTAAGTTGAACAAGATTTGTAGATGTATCGTCGCGCGCCACACAATCTCGTACCTAATTTTTAAAGAAAGGAAAAATTAATTTTCTCAATAAAAATCTGCTATATTTATATAGGTATACTAGAAAGAATTTAAGCTTTCTTTAATAAAATTAAAAGTTTTTTTCAAACCTGTAGGTCGAAATCGGGATCACCTTCAACAGAAATAACTAAAGTCATGACTTCTCCAATTTTCACAAGACCATTTGCAGCCGGAGCAAATGGACCTTTTCCAATTTGAATATCCAATTTGGCTGAAGCAGTGTCGCCACTGAATGTTACAATTTCTTGATTCAACATATCAACTGAGAGACTCACAGTGAGAGCTTTATTGATATTTCCTTCCCATAAACAACGGACTCTTCGAACTGTGTCCCATACTTCTTGAATTCCCGCCTCGTTCTAAATAAGATATTTTTTTAATAAAAATTAAATTAATTTTTGGTTTTCAATATTACCTGTAATACAAGGACATTTTCTAAATAAGCCTGACCAGCTTCCCCTTCAAAGTCATTAATAAACTGCGTTCCACAAGAATCAAGATTTACCGTGAAGGAATATTTTGTATTTTTGGAATTTGCTTCCACGTATCGACAATTGGGCATCATGTAAAATCCCTAAATAATGTAATTAAAATTTTTATTTATTTTTTATTCATTCTATCTCATAAGAAGGGATTTGTTAAATTTTTGTTAACCTTTGAATAAATTATTCCATCGTAAGCTCGATTGAATTCAATATTTATAGTCATCATACTTTTGCTGCATTGGACATCAAGAGCATGAATGTGTGGTGGATGATTTAAATCATCATCTGGTGGGACACCTGGTCCTGTATTACCTAAAAAGGGAAAATTATTTATTACAATTTATATTATTGTGAGTAAGGATTACATTATTGATTTAATTTTATAATGAATAATAATTAAAGTTTACAATTAATAATTGAAAATCAAGCAAATATGTATTAGCTGAAATCAATTAGCTAACAATTTAGCTGATACAGCAAGTTATTTGCTATTGTAGCCAATAGATATTTGGTACTTTTGATGAAAAGTATTAGCAAAAGGCATGGACAGTTAACCGTGGAAAAGTTTTGTTAAATGCAGTGATATATTAGTAAGTAAATATTAATTATTATTCAAAAATGTTGAATGAAGAACTAGTGCAACTATGATATATTACCTCCTCCTGGAGAAATGTCAATACCAGGTCCCGGTCTGGGAGCAGGTCCTGGTCCAGGTTGAGGCCTTGGTCCTGGTTGAGGTTCAGGTCCCGGTCCTGGTGCTGGACCAGGTCCAGGTTGTGGTCTAGGTCCTGGACCAGGTCCTGGTTGAGGTCTAGGTCCTGGTGCTGGACCAGGTCCTGGTTGCGGTCTGGGTTCCGGCCCTGGTCCAGGTGCTGGTCCAGGTTGTGGTCTAGGTCCAGGCCCTGGTGCTGGACCAGGTCCTGGTTGAGGTCTGGGTTCAGGCCCTGGTGCTGGACCAGGTCCTGGTTGAGGTCTGGGTCCCGGCCCTGGTTGCGGTCCTGGTGCTGGACCAGGTCCAGGCTGTGGTTCTGGTCCTGGATCAGGTCCTGGTTGTGGTCTGGGTCCTGGTCCAGGCCGACCGGGTTGTGGCGATGGGAAACCAGGCATTGGCCTTGGCTCTCCCGATGGATATCCTCCATTTGCTGGTGGAAGATAAGTTGTGGATGTTGCCGGATATCCGTTTGAGTCTGAGAATGGCGGTGATGGACGTGGAGTGTACGGATAGCCATTAGTTGAAGAGAAGCTAGTTTGCACATTCGGCGTGTACGAAGGCCTTGAAGTGGAAACTGGGGAGGAAGAGTATCCATTGTTTGATGGCGTGTATTGGCCACCGGCTGAGTACGGTGGTTCTTGCGACGTCGCAGGTTGAAAAGGTCGCGGCTTTTCCGGCGGCCTTTGCGTACTATAAGGTGGTAAATAGGCATTATCTGACTGTTGACGCGCTGAAACAAATTCATTCAAATGTCAGTTTCTGCAAAATTTCCAGAAGAAGTTATCAAATGTTTAATTTGTTCAACTTTTTTAATCACATTTTTTTTTATATTTTATTTACTTTTAGCGAAATACCTTTTCTAACACTTTGCGTCTGGTATATATTTTGAATCCACTCCAAAATATTTCTTGCCATTATATCAGCCGCTGAATCTGAAGTAGCTCGTATATTTCTAGATTGAACTAAATTCAAATTATTCCATTATTATTTTTTAGTTACGTTGACTTTAATATTATTTTATTTTAATATTTTTATTATTATAATGTTATTAAATTACCTTCATTTGAGCTAGTGAACAAGCCATGATTATTGTTTGTAGCAGCTGTTAAACTAAATATCACAATTAGAATCCCCACAATAAATTTCATTGTGGACCTGAAACACAATTTTTAATTATTTTTCTAAAAATTTGCAACGTGAAATATTATTATTATAATTATGTGAGTGTTCGTTATTGCGGAGGTACCCCATCGTTTGGATAGAGAATTTGACGACGTATACTATAAGTAAATTTCCGATTATTAAAACCAATTGTCGACAAGTAAAAATTACTCGTTTCAAATTAAAAATATCTATTACCAAAGATATTCCACTTTAATTATTACTTTTCTCCCTTGTCAGAACCGTCTTTAGTATCCCCTGTTATATGTCTAATTTCTTCTGATTTTACATATTTATATTATGATAAAAGTGAAACAGTAGAAAGAGTTTGAATAATCTTGAATGAAAATAAATTGACATCTTCTCTTGTTGCTTTCATCGTTTTCAAAAAAAAATATACACATAGTCCCATTCAACGACTTTCCCGATGAATTACTGTCCGTTGTTTTTACCAACATGGAATGTCAAATCGAAAAGAGACTGTGAATTTTCTACATAAATCTCATGTAGTCAACAATGTTGCTCACAGAAAGGAGAAAGTTGTCATTATGAAATTAAAGGCTACGATAGCACCTTTTCGAAGGTAACATCATTGCCAGATACATATGCCTATACATAATACATTGTAATGTAATGTAAGAACATCTTAGGTTTTGTAGAATTACTTGAGGATCTTCAAAGCTAACATCTGTCATCGGGACTCTTTAGATCTTTTATAAAAGAAATTTTGCAACACTTATTTTTACTTGTTAATATTTTTTCCGACTTGATAAAAATATCCTTTAGCTAAAGAAAAATCACTGTCAGTTCAAAACTTTCCAACTTGCACAAAAAAAGTAAATTTAACAAACGTCAATTCATTAATAAGGAAAACATTTTAAAATAGAATATATTTAACACACCAATTTAAATTCGTCTCAACATTTATTTCATCTTTGTTTTTCGTTTTCTTTGATTAAATTAAAACAATCATTCAAAAAATAAACAAATCAGTTAAGGTCCCTTTCACCATAGAGGGTCACATATATTTGATCCAAGTAGACACATGTTTATAATTAGCTTTCTATATCATGAATTATTTGCCAGAAGAAAAAGTTAAGAATTTTACATTCTAATTTATTTATGATTATTGTTCTAGATGAGAGAAAAATGACGAGGAAGATTCGCAAACAGCTTTATAATTTTTATATGTTTAATTTAATGAATTTTATTTGAATTGAATCAGGACAAAGAACCTGAGCCCGGAAATTTCCGGTAGTTGTTATAAAGTCCTTAATGAAAATTCCTGTACAAGATCTTGTATAAGAAAATGTACATGTTCAGCAACTGAACTTGTACCAGTTGTAACGTCCTCGCGACATTATGTCTTCAAATTATTAACCTGTGGCACGACGAACCCCTGTTTTCGCACGTGCCACAAGCCCTCGATTCTGTTAAAAATAAGTATATACAAAGATGACCAAATATGGTATTGTAATCACGTGATCACTGACCAACCCCTTGCCAAAAAATATCGATACTAAACTTATCGATTAATTTTCTACTATATAAACCATACATTTTCGTGGAACAAATCAGTTCTTTTTTGGGTGTCGGTTCATCAATTCTTCTTGAAGAAAATTCCTTATTGTTCAACAAGTGTCAACGCTCAAATAAAACTCCTGCTGAGGGAGCAGTATTAAATTCTTATTCAAGAAGTTATTCTAAATTATAAAAAAATCAATAATGCAAATTAATTTTTTTTACTAAAAGCAAAATTTGTGAGTCTATTTGCCTTGGTATTAATTCATACGACCTTGCGAGATCAAGGATGGCTTTCGAATCTGCAATCTGTTTTAGTTTAATCGCAACCGACAATATAGGTGAAACTGAATCGTGCGACTTGACCGCGTTAGCATATACCTATACAAACACCATTGATGCTTTTAAAAAGTCCTGGCAAACGGCAAGGCACTAAGGAGAGTTCGAGAAGTCAACCGAGGAGTCGTGTACGATGAGGCGAAAGGTGAAAGTGGAGTTCTATTGGAGAATTATCATCCTCAAGTATCGTCTTTAGGTACCGTGGAAACATAGCGTGCTTACTCTCAGGACTGAATTCATTAGGTTTATCTAACTGCACGAGGATCTATATAGCAAGTTCTATTTTCACGAGATGACAAATTGATTTTCATCTCTGCACCTTTACAAAATGCTCTCCAATCATGAAATTCAAGCTATACGACTTCTACTGACTTTTTAAAAGTCAGAGGTCCTTAATTTAGTAGTTCTAATTTTTTCTGCTAAAGTTCAATGCAATTAATGAAAATTATCAAACATACCATATCATTGTTCTTAGTATTTATCAATAAAGACAAATTGTTATAAGTATTTGAAATCAAGATATTCATTTGAAGAAGCGACTTGAAAAAATTGTGGTCGTGCAAGTATTCTTGATTACTTTCACTTGTGGAAAATGTTTTCTTAACACACTTAGAAATAAATGATTCTTAATTTAGTGATTTTTTTCAAGACAATAAAATGAGGTGGTTGAAAGTTCTTAATTTACAAGCGCGTTAGAGTCCTTTGGACCTTTAAAATTACGTGTGTCATCAACTTTTGTGACAAGGACGTAGAAAATGATGAATGCGATTACAGCAAAAGTCTATTAATGATAATTGCATAATAAAGATCTCAGATTTATTCAGTGTCATAAGATAAATTTTTATGTTTAATAATTATAACTTTCTGGAAAAATTTACAAAAATTGTTATGTACGATACAAGCTTTATTTCAATTGTACGATTTTTGCGATGAACAACAAGATAACAATCAAATCAATTATTTAGATATTTCTATAATTATCAAAAATAATAAGACTACATATAACTGGTATCAAAAATTATCTTCAGGCAGACTCATCAATTACTTTTTGAATCATCCATTACAATAAAAATGTCCAAAATTTTTGAACATTTCTTGAAATGCTACAGCCAATTATGCACTTTGTGAATCTACATGAAATTTCACAATACGTCCAAATATAAAATGCATTTCATGAAATGTCCAAGTCCAATGTCAATAATGAAGAAATCGTATTAACAATTAATTTCATATTATTATTTCCACGGTAAATCTATTCTTTAATTAAAATCAATTAGTCATTCATTAGTCATCAATATCTGTCTTATAATGTAGTGTCGTTAGTACATTTGACAAAGAAAGACTGTTCATATTATTTTATAATTCAAAAAAATGGAAAACGAAAATTTTTCTCGAAAAATTGGACCAACATTACCTGCAAAAACAAAAAAAAAACCTTATATTCGTGCCGAAGTAAATAACATATGATTAGTGAAATAGTGGCAGCAAAGAATAAAACGTAATTAAATATATAAATCAAAGGAATTAATTATTATAATTAAAAAAATTTTAATAAATTTAAAAATTTCAAATTCTTGCAAAAAGATATGAATCAAATAAATTGTTCCACAGGAGTATAGGATTACATATTGATTAATTTGTAGCTAATTTTTCTGTTGTCCTTGTACATCTACATTAAATTATATCTTTGTATGCAACGAATTCGCTTTTTCGTCGAAAACAATGTACATGTCGAAAGGCACTTATCTCCATGGGATCGAAGGAATAACTTTAGATGTAATGTGAAAAGAGTGGGAAATTATTGTGAGACAACTCCTCTAGGTCTTGAAAGTTCACATGTTTGTAAAGGACATAACTGAGAATTAAATATTTTTATATATACTTGAAATTCTTTTGTAATTGAACTCATTGGGATGTGGTTTTGAAAATTATGCTCGCACTGAAAAAATAACTTGGCATCAAATTAGCATAAACTTATATTGAATATTTCATTACAGCATTTTGAATTTAAGATTTTTGTGAAAAAATTACTATTATCGTTTTAAAATGCCTTTACTTTTTACTAAGATTAATTTTTATTTTAATTTAAAATATTTACACTGTTTGTAATTAAATAAATATTGAACAATTTAGTTAAAAATGAAATTAGAAATTAACTGATAAAAATATCCTTCTTGTAGGACACAGTCAATAAATATATCCCAAAGGAATGTAAAGAATAAAAATGATATGAACGATATATAGTAACCAAGAAATTGCAAGTAAATAAGAAGCCTACGCTAATTGCCTGCTAATTAACACAAAAAGTGAAGACTTTCCTTGAATCTTGCACAATTTCACAAGAGGGTGACGGAGGGACAATGTAGGTGTTGAAGAAGAGAGGGTCGGTATCATTTAAGTGTAATAATCATATGTCATTGTGTTTTCAGTACTTTATAATTATCGTGCGAATTCGTGAAATTCACGTCGGCGGAACGGTGCTATTTTGTGGTCACGAGATGAAGCAAGTATTAGTATAGAGTGCACTTGAGATGATGCGGTTTTCGTTTCTTCCTTTCTTTAAAATTTTCAAGAAAAACACATCTAAAAGGTTCCTGTCTTAGATATATATATGTAAATTACATAATACATTTCGTTTTCCTATAATAAAATTCCTAATCATCTCCTTAGACAGCACTTGACGAACTCACAATTTTTATATTGAGTTTTTAGAAAATAAAATAAATTTACTTCTAAATCTATGGGATAATGTTTTTCTTAAAACGGAAAGTTGAGTGACAGAAGGTTAATTGCGCTGTCATTAATGTCAGTATATTTTATAACACAGGCAATTTTTTCTGCTTTATCATATCTGTAAAGTTTAAATAGTATTTTATTCACTGATAGGATATAGCGGGTAATAATGTACACTTTATTTCCCTAGTGAAATAAAATGCACTTAATCACCCTCTGAAGAGGGAAAAGAGCACATTAAAATCTCCATCTGACTACAAACGAGAACGGTTGAATAATATTTCTCACATTTTTGTATCGTGTATAAATAATTAACTGTATACCTTTTATTTAATTTTCTGAATCTAAATTATCTAATATAATGATATTTCAACAATTATAAAATAATTTTCATCAATACA